AGCGCGCGCCTTCTGTCGATAACGTTGTATAGCTGGCATATAGCCTAAATGATGAGCTTGTAGTGTAAGGAACCAACATTGCGTCTGGAAATTGGCATTATGGGTGGCTGTAGCGAAATCACGTTCTATGAATTGCTTGTATTCGTCAGCGGTAAAACGCAATTTCGTATCATTCTCGATTGAGATCAATGTGTCTTTATAAAATGGAAATAACGGATCGATGCGATCCAATTTGATTTTCACCGACAGTTGTTGCAATACGCTCATTAAATTAATGACGAAACCATCGCGTGCAAGCAATTTTTCATCGCAAGCGAATTGTGCACGACGCTCGTTGTAGCGCAATACTCTACTTATGTATTCGAGTGTACGAGGGCGGCTGTTGACATTTACAAGCAACGAATGAAATACTGTATGCATTGATGTGCGCATGGATTGCATTTCCTATTTTGACAGCAAAAAAAAAAAAAAAAAAAAAAAAAGAAACAAAAAATAAATAATTTGAAAATTAAATTCCATTAATATGCAAGCAATATTTAGCTTTACTAACCCAACGAAAGTGATACATGCTATACACGATAACATTACTTTTGCCATGTGCTTCGGCAAATTTCACATTCTCCTCAGCAAAGAGCGATACGGAGAGAAACGGTCCCAGATAACTGCATTTGACTATTTCCCGACCGGGTATCTTCGTACACATCGATGGTAGGAAATTCACTTGTGCTGCAATCAAATCGCAAATCGGTCGCGCTGCACCAACTTTTATGACCACCAATTTAGCTAGAACATCAATTTGTTGTGTGTTGACGTTGGGCGTGCAAATGTTACGTTGCATGCCAATGAAGAGACCGCGCAGTAGTTGACCAAATATTTGTTGAAAATCCGCAGTTGTTTTATGCGCTGTAGCTACCAAATCATATAAGAAACTGTCGGGTATGCGACCCTGATAGAGCATTTCCAGCATTGGTGATTGATCGAAAATGTAATTTGCATTTTCATTAATGCGATCGGTGAGCACGAGTATGGTAGTACGCATTATAGCATCATGTACTTGTTGTAATACATTTTGTATTTTTGTTTGTGTATTCATGGGTACATTGCTGCCGGTAATGTTGTTATCTGTTGTATATTGTTGTCGTAGGCGATGGCAATTCACCAAATACAAAAGCACCTCTTGCCTGACCATGGTGCCATGGAAGCTGGTTGAAGGTGTTACTGGACCGATAGTATTATCCAAATTGGCGGCAGTCGATGTTGATGCTGAGTTTAAAGATTGAAATTGTATTGCATTTAAAGTAATAAAATATGAAGTAATGTAAATGTCGCACCTTGTGATGATGCTGGTCGCTCGTCTTCGCGAGCGCTACTACTTCTGCCGCCACGCGTCATTGCATTTTCGGAAAAGAAAATTGACGATCGCGTGCCACCAGCGCTGCCAGGCGCTGCGTTTGCTAGTATTTCCTGTACTTCTGTGTCGTCGCTTTTAATCTTTTTTGGCGTTGAGTATGTGGGATTCGAAGTCGCACCCGTTGATGTTGTCGCTGTAGAAGTGCTTGCCGCTGGAGATACAGTTGCTTTAGTGTCACTCGTGCTAACCGTTGTCGTTGCTGAGACGGTGCCACTTGCTGACGCAACTTCTAATTCGGCAGATGAATTCGCGCTACTGCCAGCGCCTTCTGGTGCTTCGAGTTCTTCTTTAAATAACTTTAGTACACACTCTAAGAGAACATCATGCATAATGGTTTCGAAATCAAAGCGCATATGTGGATAATGTTCAAGAAAACTAGCCGTTTGCGGACATATCATTGAACCGACACTATATTCATTCCATGTAGCATTGAATATTTTCGAAAGCATATCTTCGATGAATTCATCTGTCGTTTGTTCCGGTTGTTTGTGCTCAACAATCATATCGGCAGTATCTACATGAGTTGTTTCCATTTGTTCTAATTGGTTGTCAATGCATTTTTTGCTATCATGATTGCCGTTTTCTGATTTAATAATACTATCAGTTGGTGGTGTGAGTACGGACATACTTGTGGATGAGGCAGTTGATAGAATGGAGGCGCATTTCGTTATATCTATATGCTGGGTAGGCGTAGTATTCAGCGAGTTCATTTCGACGTCAACGTCCATTTTAGTGCTTTCTCCAATCGGCAGCACATTTTCTGGTTGTATTTCCGACGGTGCTACTAGATTGGTGCGTAACAGCCGAGACTCCTTTGCAGCATAATTAGGACTACGTAGTTCTAAATGGGCAATTAATTAATGTTAATAGTTTTTACGATTAAATAGCACAAACCTTTTTCATTATCGTCCGTTGCTGCTGGCGTTGTTGTACTACTTGAGCTTCTTTCAGCCGTTGTAGGTGTATTACTAATTGGCGATATTACTTTTGACGAATTAGCTGCCGCTAAGGTACGCAATCGTCGGGCGCGTATCTGTGGAATTAATTTATTATTTTTTATATGTATGTGCCAAAAAACTATTTTCACTTTACCTCTTCCGGCGTTAATTCATTCATCTTTGTGTTTTGCTCCTCAGCAGATGACATGCCAAATAAATGCCGTTATTCAGTTCCCCTTCTTTTCTTTCTATATGCGTAAATAAATTTTATTTTAGTTTTATATTATTTTTGCGAAATATTTATATATACATACATATATTTATTTACTTTTTAGTTAACAAAAGAGCAGCTTCTTCTTTCTTCACCGACTTTCCTATTCTCTTAGTGCTGTCACCGTCAAGGTAATGCGTTGCAATTGCTCTACTGCTTCAGCACCAATAAAATGTCTTTATGTAAAAATTCTTTGGCTGAGGAAATTTCACATGAAAAGTATAAAGTGACCAAAGCTCTCTACTATATTGTTGCTATTTTTTCGTTGGCGTTATTTTATTTTACGAATGTGTTATGATGCGTTCAGATATATGAAGGTGGAGGTTGAAATGATGACTGCCGACTTCGTTGCTGCGTTTTGTGGGTGAACGAACTGTGGGGATATATGAGTATATGGTAAATGTTTAGTATATGTTAACTCTTGGCAAAGGCCAAATGTCATTCTAAGTCCAAATGTTAACAAAACGTTTGCGAGCACTTAAAAAAAACTAACGGTTTATAAATTTATAATCTATTATCCTATATAATATATTACGTAGATAATTAGGTATTGCAAAAATATATTTTTATTTTAATATTTTATGTACACTACTAAGTGCATACAATGCATGGAAGTTAGTGCTAAGTGAAGGCTTGCATATTTCATTTATATTGTATATCTTGCATATGTTCCAATAATTTATAAACATGCCATATATTTATTTGTTGTGTTGAAGCATTTCTGCTCAAAACATATTACAAATCGCAGTAACACAAGGAATTACCAATACAAAATAAACTCAATATTTATCTTTGTCATTCAATGCTTACACTGCACTTTTTTTGCAAATACTATTTTTAGAAATCGATAAAAATGATGAGCATTAATGCAAAGACCACCCTGTGGTAGTGGCGCTTGAAATATAAATAAATATAGGCACATAAATATTTAATGTAAATACAATTACGACGAAAGTGAACTGCCTGGTGAAAGACATAAAAACGCAATCTCATCCATCTACATAATTCTTTGTAAACTGTATATATTATATTTTATGACCATTTACCTAAAGTGTACCAATACATGAATTTACTAAAATACTAACACAGCCATATCAGCTGTGAAAAACGAACTCCTGGCTCTAGATAAGCCATAGACGGTCAAGTGCAGCATCAAGGTTTTTATAAAGATTTAAAAGAGGCTGATAATAGGCGTGTCACATGCACCTAAAATCGAACATTTTAATCTATTAACGTAAAATCAAAGGGGATGGATATTTGTTTTTAGAACAACGACAAGTATTGCTAATATACAAATAGAGCGTCAAAAGAAAATTATATGTGTAAGCCAACATGCTACAAAATTTGGAAAAGTGACAGACCATTGACTACTGAAATCTGATAAGAAAAATATAAACGCAATATGTGTCATCCAATCAGTAACCAAAATTGTTCTAATTTTGTATACAAGCTGAATAAAAATTTGCATATACGGATGTATATACATATTATTTATATATGCATACATAAATTATGTACATATGTGCAACTACGCAATAGAAATTTGTTGAAATTGCTATCGTATAATTTGTTCTTTGTCATTAAAATCTTGCGACGGCTGTTGGAAGCGTTTTGGTTAAAAATTAATAAAAGTTTACGTAAACATTCCAAAAAAAGTTATTACAGGCACAAAACCGTGTTTTAAAATACTGTTTCTCAATTTTCGTATGCATATATAACATATGTATATGGTTATTTCGTGTTTTTTTTCACAAAAGTTTTCACAGCAGTCAAAACATTTTCCGTTAATTAGCAGCACTAGTTATTTTTTCCGCGCACTCACCCTCTTTTCTATCGTTATTATACACTACTTTTCTCACCTCAGTTGTCATTACTTTATAGAGAAATCACTTACAAAAAGTTATATGTCCTTTCATGCACTTTCCCTTTCTTTGTTTGTCTTTTATAGTACTTTATTCCGGGAACTTTTCCACGCTAAAGCAAATTGATAATTTAAGCAGAACAACATAAAAATAATTATTATTTATATGTCCAGTCTTATGTACCTTTTTCGTTTTTTACTGTTAAATCTGTACAATATGAGTGTGCATTGAACCGAACGATTTCGAGTCAATACTTATGATGTACACGTATTTTTCTTTTTTCGCTGGTGTCTTATGTCTTTTAATTAGCAAATCTCACAATTTTTCCCCAAGAGTTTGTTATTAGCTTTTGTCCTTTACAAAAAGGGCGATTGAGTTTGATTTGTATAATATAAAATTTGTTTAATTTTCCCTATTTTTTATGTCGCGTAATCTTGCACTTCACCACTTCACTGACTGAACGCAAAATGTCGCAGTACAAATGAACAATTGGACGTGGATTAGTAGAGGTGCCAAGCGCTTATAACGTTAAAACTTTTCATTAAAACTGTATGCCTCTGCACTAATCGAGAATATTATTCACTTTGGAATTAATAAGTTTAATTGATTTTGCGAGGTATCAGATCCAGCATATTACTCAAAGTGTTAATACTTCAAACTATGTAATTTTTTGTTGAATTTTTACAATTTACCATAAAAAATATGTTGTTATTATTTGCAATTGAAGAATTGGCAACTTTGAGCATGAATGACTGGTGAAATCCATCATATGTGGTTTATTTGCGGCGAATTCATTATTTCCAGTTTTCAACAAAATCTTGAACTGCTTCGTTAACTTATTTTAGTGTTCAATAACGACTGAAATAAAATGTTTAAAATAATTAAAACTTGCTTTTTACATGGTAGCCCAATTCCTTGAACTTTAGTACGTTTTAATTAACAATATGTATTAATATATACAATACGTTATAAATTTATTTGCTTACTAATGTCTGCGGAAAAAAAAATTAAAAAACAGGCAACACTGTATATTTCACTTTAGCAGCTTGCAGAAAGGGCTTTATCCCGCGTGAATTTATTTATCGTCATTAAAGAAACTAATAATTCTAATTTTATAAAAGTTTCGTAAAATGCCTAAAACGAAGAAAAGAACTAGCAGTTCATCTAGCAGTGATTCTGGACCAGACGACGTAAGCATAAAGTTGGAAATAAATAAATACTTTAAGAAATAAATAATTATTCTTGCCTCACAGAGAAATGTACCACCGGTTAAAAAATCCAAAGTAAGTTCTGATAAGACTGGTAGTGGATCCAGCAATAAAGATGCTAATAGCTCAGGAAACCCAAATGGGCCTTGGACAATTGAAAAATTGCGTCAGGTGGGTATAAATGAGTTTAAAGGACGTAAAATGGTGGACATTCGAGAATTTTACGAGAAAAATGGTGAAATCTTGCCCGGTAAAAAAGGAATATCTCTGTATCCCCATCAATGGAAAAAATTGCTGGAACTAGCTCCTGAGGTGAATAAAGCTTTGGGCGATTAACCAACACCAACCACATTAATCGATCACCAGTAAAATTGTATTTATTAATTTTTATATGTATGTGTATAAAATAATATAATCAAAAAAACATCGTTTCAATTAGACATTGATAAGAGAGCATATATTACTTTTAGCATTTAGCAAATGAGTTTCAGATGCTATTTCCTTTGAAATTATCAATTTTATAACCAAACAACAAACTCACAGATAACTGAACACCTGGACAAAGTGCTATACATCTTATCTCTATTAATCTTGCATATATTAATCACAAAAAAAATACTATAACTATATTTTATTTATCAAAGCATTGCACAGTTTAACATTCGCTTTTAATATTTTGTTACATAATTATATATGCACACAAATTCTTTAGCTTAACCAATGTTTACGAACGAGGTCCTTTTGAATAAACTTAAAGGTATACTGCCAGGAACGAACATAACGATACGAAAATTACAAACGGTAGCCATGTTTTAATAAAACCCCCGAAACCAACATATCTGCCACAAACAAATATCCAAAGGCATAGCACTACCATATTCCAACTGGTTTGTCTATTGTAGCGCATGCCACATAAGGCAGTGGCTACATGTGAATGACAATTGTCACAAAAGAGATTATGCATACGGGTTCCATATAATATTGAAGCTTTAGCTACAGCTTCATCCCATTCAGCAGGTCCACCTGCAACATTTTTTGGACTCAAACGCAGATATCTTGTCGGTCTTCCAAAGCCCATTTTGTCCTCAGATACATAATAGGGTCCCGCAAAATCACGTATGATACCTGTGGATGTACATATTCCCATATGACCTATCATAGGTAACAACCAAGTGAGAACAGGTATCGGAGTCCAAACGATGCAGTAAGGAAAACGATCGTTTTCAAAATTTATTGGAGGTAGGACGAGTCGCTCTGATTGATCATCCATTGCAACATTAACAGCTTCTCCTGTTGCTCCAGAAGATGGGGATTGTCCAATGTTTTCAGAACTGGCGCTAGTCATTTACGCTTTTGAAACAATTTTATTTTTTAAATTGAACTCTTTGAACGACTTTTCGTATGTAAACTCATTTGTGTACTTTTTATATGATAAGCTGTAAAAAAATAAACATTTGCATATGCGGACTATGAAATATATATAAGGGTATGCAACACTGATAATATCCCAGCAATGTTGCCATACTTAGTCATTACAAGTTGCGAAAGCGATTGCCCGATAATGGGTACAATCAACCATGTTGTAAACTTGAATAAACTAATACCAATGCATGTACTTGAAAACATAGAATTGTTTAATTAAAAGTAGTCAAAACTATTTAAAATAAAGTTTTTGTTATTTTAATTAAAAATTGAGATTTAAGGGCATAACTTTGGAAATTTAACTTATATATGTATATCAATTTAGTCTGGAATGTTTTTCAATTACAAAAGTAAACCGATCGACTGTGAATGCTTATGCATGTTGTGAATGAATTTCAAAAATGTCATTGGGAGTTTGTAAACAAAAATAATTCTTTGGTCAAGAATATTAAATTTCTAGAATTATTGATATTTGTTGTTGTTTTATTGTATTAAAAAATGACAAATTAAATGGGTGGTAAAAGTTACTATTGCGACTATTGCTGCTGTTTTCTCAAGAATGACGTAAATGTGCGCAAAACGCACAACTCAGGTTTAACTCATAATATGGCAAAATTACGTTATATGAGACGATTCGAAGGTGAGTGCGCATATAAACAGGTTACACTAAACTATTAACCATAATATAATTAATAGACCCTAGAAAAGTGCTGGAACAGGAAGTCAATAAGGAGCCTTGCACGCGTTACTTAAACGGCAGATATTGCAAATTCGATTTAATGTGCAAGTCGACGCATTACAATAAAGAGCAGTTAGAGCAGTTGCGTAAAATAGGTTCGTTGCAAATTTAAAAATAATTCATCTTTTAAAATAATTATTCATTATGTATTTTTAGTAAAACGTTTGGAAAAATTTCAAAGGCCTAAAGTTATTGGCAAACTGAAAAATGACAAAAAAAGGATGCTTCCATGGCATAGAAATAGTGAAAAAAGTTATAAATTAATGAATATCAAACGCTTACCAGAATCACTGAGACCTATAAACTTTGATCGATTCAATGATGATTGCCTGAAACTCGAATGGGGTTAGAAAAAAAAACCATTGTCAAATTGTTTAGATTCTTGCAATTTTTCAATAATAAATTACTATAGCAATACAAAATCTAATATCGATAGCTTTACCCCAGTATTGTCACCACACTTTCCATGGCATTATCCACTTTTAAACTTAATTGCAGCATTTTGCCAAATTCCGAGTAATACGATTTTGCGTCTTGACCGCTAAAATTCATAACACGAGGATCTGTGAGATGCGCCAATAAGAAGAACACAAAATGCTCTGCAAAACTGAATATTAATGAAACACATTTACAATAAGCACCAACGTTTTAACTTTACCTAATTTATTTTCAATTGCAAAAAATAACGCTGTATTTCCACTTTTCCGATCGCCCATCTCCAAAAATTTCTTCTTCAACTTCGGTTGTGCATTTCTCGTTGTATTGCTATATTTTTGTTCCAATTTCTTACAAACGTCTTCGTAATATTTACTAAATTCATTTTCGGATGATGTTGAGGTAAAATTTCGAGTAAATGAAGGTTTTCCTGAAAGGCGTTCATCTAGTGCATTTAGAATGATTTCTGCGCGTATATAACTATTGGCACGCACAACCATATGCAGGGGAGTGTATCCATCATCATTTAAGTGTAATAATAGTTTTAGATCTATCTTTTCCATTAGCAAACGTAAAGAGTTATCTTCGATTTCGTTGAGTACAGCTAAATGAATAGAGGTGTTGGAGTGGTCATCGATTTCATTTGTGTTCAAACCCTCATTTAATAGCACATTGATTATTTTCGGGTAGCAATCTTGAACGATTGCTAACTGGAGGCAATTCTGAAAAATAATAGTAAGTGGTAAGTAGACAAATGCACTACTATGTAATACATCAATTTGTTAAACCTACTTCGTCATCGTCCGTAAGTAAGGTGTTAAGATCTTCCACTTTTCTAATTTTCCTCCAAACGAATATTTGCCTCCGTAAGGCATCCAAGTCGTTTTCAATTATGGTGCGGTGTATGGCGCTATACAAAATTCAAGATGTTAAGTAATACTCTTAGTTTATTAAATAAAAGCTTACAGCAATCCATCTCTACGTATGTCTGCATCTATAAATTCTTCAGCCATTTTGCGAATGATGTGCTCTTCTTTTGTTTTATGTGGCTCTGGCGATTCAAAACTGATTCCGTTTAAAAATTCAGAAGTAATGGATATTATCGAGTCACTTCGATTTCTTCGATTTAAATCATTTGTTGGCGCTTGATCTATGTTTGGGGTCTATAAATAGGTACATATCTTAAGCATACGCATACATATGTAATATATGCAAAAAGAAATACTTTTTCAATTTTTCTAGCCTTTAGTTTGGGTTGTAGTTGAGTCTGTGCCATTTGGGCATGTGACCTTTTTACCACTTGTGGCAGACATACTTTTCGTTTCCGTTTCCTTTTCACTGGTGCATTTATTGAATCATTAACTTTAGACGTTTGATCTCCTCTAGACTTCGGCTCCACCGACTGTTGTGCTATCGTAAGATTTCGTGTTATTGTTGTAGAAATTACTGTTCTTTGTAAAGCTGGTGAGTTTCCATTTCGACTGTCATCACCATTGCTTGGATGTAAAGAATTCTGCGACGACTGAAGTGGTAGTGTTATTACTTTAATTGCTTCATTTGTTGAATGTGTAACTCTTTCGGTAATATCCGTTTGTGTGGCTTTTTCCTTGAAGGAGTCAGCACTGTTACCAAATGTCTTTTTACAATTCGGGCACAAGGCGTGTACAATCTGTGAGCTCGATGATTTTCCATTAACTGCTTCCAAAATACGAAGTTGTACATCTTTTTCAGGTATTTGAAGTACTACACGAAATAACTCCGCATAGGCCAACTTAGATTTGGCGTTATCAGGGCTGGTTATCTTGAACGCAGTTGTAACTGTTTTACTATTGCTTTTTGTTAAAATGACCTTCTTCATGTTAGTGCACCCGCCACAAACACTTTAATGGCAATTTACAGCACATAAAAATAATTAAGTAGTATTATCGACTATAAGAGTACTATTTGGGGAAATACCTTTTTATAAAATCCAAGCAATATACCAAGTTCTAAATCTAATTATAAAAATCAATCTATATATTAACAGTTTTTGATTTTTAATTCATTGTTACTTTTTTCTACTACATAACAACAATATATAATATAATATTACGTGAAAATCTTATGATGTTTTGAATATATATCACACATGTCTTTTTAGTTAATACCATCATTTTTAAAGAGGAAACCCCCTCAAATTTTGACATAAAAACAACAAAAATACAATGAACTTACCAGATTTAATATACTTTCGTAGCTAAAATAAATTTGTAAACACAAATTAGTGGCCCATTGAAAATTTTTGTAGTTGCGTTAAGGTACTCATGCGGGACTTATTTCAGTTGTGTCCTGAGAGTAATGCCTTTTATAAAAAAATGATTTTATAAGAAACGTTTTGAAATGGAACCGCGGAACTTTAACAAACAAAGAAAACAAATTTTAGTACAACTTTAGAGTGCAAAGCGTTAAATGCACACAAACATCTGGCATCGCTGTTGATTACTTGTCTGAATAGTTAATGTCAAAAAGTAAAAAATCGATATAATTTTCAATCGTGCATTTTTCTTCACAAAGATATCTGCATTAAATTAATATAGAGATATTAGAAATTCTGCAATTATTATAAAACTTAAAAACAGAACGGTAGTGAACAAATAAAAAGAACACAAACGAAATAAAAAAAGGACAAAGGAAACAATAACTTGCAAGTCCTAAAAGAAATTCTAAAAAAATTTACGCACTAAGGGATTGCGAGGAAAAGAATTAAAATGAACATGGAAAGACGTAAGTATTCTTTACTTTAATTATTGTACAAAAGTTGTGTGTAAATTATATGTTTATATCGATATTTGTTCTTATGCTCAGGTTCACGTAGTATATCGCCAGGCAATCGTCGACATCGTAATGGTGGTAATATGGCTGGAGGCGGAGGCTCACGACGAGAATACCGCCGTTACAGTCGCTCCCGTTCTCGTTCAAGATCACGGTAAGTGTGTAAAGTCAATATATTATATAGTAAAGTGTATAAGTCAAAAATTATAAATTTTGATTCTTTTTATATGTGTAGCGAACGTAGTCGCGACCAAAATTTCCGACGTCGTAATTCGCGCTCGAGATCTCGCGAACGTATGGGACCACATCGACGTGGTGGTAGCGGAGAGAAGGATCTATATCGTGATTTAATTTATGATGATTATCAAGAAGATAAAAGCTACAATGCTCGTGGTCATCGCGGTCGTGGTGATGATGACTATAATGAAGAACGTGACCGATTTTGGAACGATCGCGGCAGAGACAAAGGACGTGATTATGACCGCGATAGAGAGCGCGACCGCGATTATGACAGGGATCGCGATAGAAGGTAAAGCAAAACTATAGATAAATATATAAATCGATTTATTTCCATTTAATAATAAAATTATTTACAGGGACAATCGTCACAGTCGTTATGGCCGGCGATACGACAATGATCGTGAAAGTGATGACAGCGATGACAGCTTTCACAGTCATTTCTACAACAAAACTCCATCAAACACCATAATTGTTTTGGGTTTACAATCGCACATCACCGAAGCGGATGTAAGTATTTAAACAAATTTGCAATATATATAAACAATGTATACAATCTATTTTTTTTCTTTTTATTTATAGCTAATGAGCATATTGATTCAACAAGGCATGACCGCTTCAATACGACTTATACGCAAACGACCAACAGGTGGGTTTCTAATGCATTGCAATGTTTATAGAATAAACTTAGTTTACTAGCTCCAATGACATTAGTGATAAATAGTGATAAATAAAAAATTAAATATATGACACGTAAGTACCGGCAGAAACTCGTTAAAGTTAGCTAATGCAATAGATGCCACAAATTGGGCTACATACAATTACTACGTTTACAAATATACCAGCAGCAGCTACAATAAAAATAAAGATAAAAAGACAATTCTACAATCAATTATACCCTATATTGCTTGTAGTAATTGAATTAACAACAAGAAACGATATTTGTTGCAATTCCACATTAAAAAAAAAAATCCAACTATATTCAACAACAACAAAAATACATTATTTTTTGACGTAAATATTTTGTATTTGCTTCTATCTAAAATTTAGGTGCATCACGAGGTTTCGCTTTCGTCGAGTTTAGTACCATTGATGAAGCTGCACGTTGGATGGAGCTAACCCAGGTATCACTTGTTGCTCAACCACCTCTACACACACCCATCAAACGATCTCAGATCACGTTCAAGCGCATACATTGTGTTTATACTTTTTAATGTGTTTAAAAAAATGTGTGAGGGCGAGAGTAGATAGTTTGATATTTATACATTTTAACGTAAATATTAATGAAAAGAAATTTAAATTATAGTGAGTGAAAATAATAATGAAAGAATTTCTAAAGAAGAACTAATATTAATGTTACGGTATTTTCATGTGCTAAAAAATTTATATTTTGCTACATATACGTTTTTAATTTTACAAAATATCAGGAAATTGTAAATCTTTCAAAAACGCATACAAGGTTCGTTTATAAATTTGCTTGCGAAATATAATATATAAAAATTAATCCCGTTAGAAAACCACAAAAGTTCAGGCATTTCATGATAGCTTAGTATTAGGCACACAATATCAACATAACATCAACGCAGCAATTCAGCTGATACCTAAAATTTATGCGAGAAGACATGCAATTGCTCAGCCAGATCTCACATAAGCCCAAAAAAAGATTATCATGCAACATATGAGATGAGATTAGAAATTTTACATACTTTGCACCATAATCGAATTGATATGGAAATGGCATATATATATATATATACATAAATAATGCATGAGAAACAGAACTAGCTGAGTCATGTTCGAGTTCTAGTTTGATGCGATCAAGCGCGTGCAACCTGCAACATTGCAAACTCAATGCAATCAACCAATCGGTGACTGTGTAGTCTGTGGGAACCTGAAAAGTCAATCGTTATTAATATATTATTTTTTCTCTCTCATTCTCTTCCCTTTACATGCATTCTAGGGCTCCATACAATTGCCGGATCAATCGTGCGCCAATCTGCAATACAGTGTCTCACCTAAACAGAAAGCGAATGCTACGGATTGGCATTGTAGCAAGGTATGTAATAGTGTTTATACATTTGTATGTATGTATTTATAACTATAACTAATGTTTTTATTTGCAGTGTGGCGTTTTGAATTTCAAACGACGTTTTGTCTGTTTCAAGTGCTATGCATCGCGCGAGGATAGCGAAAAAATCGGCGAGGGTAGCGAAGAAGTTAGCAACATCTTAACGAAAAGTATAACCATACAAACTAATTGCTAAGATACTAAGCAATATTGCAAGCAATATTCAAATCATTAACGCATAACATATTAAAATTGATCTGAATTATTTGAACTAAAAATTCTACTGATCCTTCAATCCCCCTAATGCAGAGATCATGTTACGCAATTTGGATACGTTAACGACAGAGGAGGCCGTACTCACTGCCATGCAACAGCATGTGCCAGATTTGGCAAGTAAAATTACGAAAATACTCGTCAGCCGCGACACATTAACGCAGACGTCACGTGGCATATGTTATTTGAATTTCGATAGCCTCATTGATTCGATGAACTTGTATACAGCGTTAAAAGCGCTCGATCCACCGCTAACAATTGATAGTCGCCAATGTAAGTATTCATAGTTTTGTAAATAGTGGAAAAATAATAAATATAATTAGTTGTTTATATATTTTAAGTGAAATTTAAATATTTTGTCATTTTACATATTTATGATTACTTTTTATTATACCTTGGTCTCATATTTTTATACCCTTAGCAATGCATATAAAGTTTTCCACGAAGTTTGTAACACCCAGAAGAAACTGCGGAGACCTTATAAAAATATATATACATATATATATAAATGATCGGCATAACGAGTTGAGTCGATTTAGCCATGTCCATCTGTCTGTTATCGATCTAAAACATTGCAGACGTCCTTTTCTCCCCAGGAAGCTGCACATTTGTCGCAAGCGCCGACATCGGACCTCTATAGCATATAGCTGCCATACAAACTGATCGATCAAAATTTAGTCCTTGTATGGAAAATTACCATCTCCGAAGATATTGTTCAAATCGGACCTCTATAGCTTATAGTTACCATATAAACTGACTGATCAAAATCAATTTCTTGTTTAGAAACTTTTTTATTTGTAAAGGGCATTATATCTTCATAACTATAAAACTAATACATTACTTTTTACCAATTTCTTGTTACAGTACTCGTGAGCTATTGCATAGATCATGAAAATCGTCAAATCGTGCCGAAGAAGGGCGATTCAGCTGCTGGTGGCTCAGCATCCACCTCTATTGGCCCGTTGACGGCTGCTGAAATGATGGCGGCTTCAGGTTCTCTAGCCGGTGCCGCCACCGAATACACCTTGGCAGATGTGCCGCGCCTGGCCGAATACAGTGCCGCCATGTATGCATCGACACCGGCGGAGCATGCACATTATTTGCAATATTACACTGAATACTACATAAGCGAGATAAATAAAGGCCACTACGGCAATTTGCCAAGCTCTGCTCAACTAACAGAAACCTCAGCGAATTCGGCAGCCGCTGTTGCGCTCTCGGCCATACAACGTAAGCAAAAGAAAATGAATAGTATTGAGACGACAGCAACTCAGGCAGCTGCAGCTGCTGCCGCTGCTGCGGCGGCGGTAAAGGCTAGTTTAGCGTTGAAAAATGTCCCTACACCGAAGGGAAATGACGGCAAGACATATCGTAAGTACTCGTATGAGTTGAAGCGTTGATTGAATTTTTTTTTTTTTTGTTAATATTCACTTCTTTTTCGTTTCAGCCACACCCGATGTCTCACTGTATCAATATGATGAAACCTCTGGCTATTATTATGATCCGACTACTGGCCTGTATTATGATGCACATTCCCAATACTATTACAATAGTGAAACGGGCGCTTATCTCTATTGGGATCAACGCAAAAGCACCTATGTTTTGGCCACACCGGCAGCGGCAGCAGCCACAATACATGATGTGGTAAAGAATGAAATGGGTGAAGATGCCAAAGCGAATGCCGCAAATGCAGGCGGTAATCCGACCGCTGCTAATGAAGATGAGAAGAAAGACAAGAAGGAGTCCGGTAATAAACATGATAAAGTGAAGGTAGCTAAGAAAATAGTTAAGGACATGGAGAAGTGGGCCAAACAGTTGAATCAGAAAAAAGATTATACAGTAGTTGCGACGCCGCAACCGATATTACCTTCGAAAGCAGACGATGCACCGGCTCGTGCTGCGGGCGCAGTCGCTGGTAGCTCAGGTGGCGCGTTATCCAGCGGTTATGCTGATGTCGGCTTCTCTATACTGGAGAAGAAGGAACGTGCCAAACTAACAGACTATATGCCAAGCACAACGAGTAATAATAAGCTCACGGCATATGCCTCTGATTCCGATGAGGAACATGGCGGTCAGGCGGCAAGCACGAGCGCCGCTGGTGGCGGCTCTGAAGCCAGTGAAAAAGATTACGTTGACTTCCAAAAGCTCACATGCCTGCTGTGTAAACGCGCTTTTCAATCGCTGGAAATATTGCAAAAGCATCTAAAAATGTCCAATTTGCATAAGGAAAATCTGCAGAAATTTAATATGGGACGTAGCTCTAATGCAAGTGGTGAATCTATGGGCAATGCAGGCTTGTCGTGAGTATTTATTTTTAATTTAATAATTTGTATACATTACTAATTTATATTATATTATATCTTCTTGAAAAATTTTGTTGAAATTCTCTACAGTAACTACCGCGATCGCGCCAAAGAAAGACGTCAGAAATACGGTGAGAGTGATCCACCGGTTGCCAATCGTAGTCGCGAACGTTTTGAAATGGAGATGAAATCGATCTCCACACGCCAATCGGAAGCGCCGCCAATGCCGATAGGTTCGAATAATGTTGGCAATCGGCTGTTACAAAAAATGGGTTGGTCCGAAGGACAGGGCCTCGGGCGTAAAAATCAAGGTCGCACAAGCATAATAGAGGTTTGTGGTTCAACGCACAACATATTAACTAATATATAGTATCGAAAACACTGTCTAATATATTTCTTTACTCTTTTTTGTAGGCGGATGCACGTTCATCTACCGTTGGCTTGGGCAACAAGTCAGGCATAACACCCGGTGAAGACTATAAGACGTATATTAAGAAAATGATGAAGTCACGTTATGAATCAGTGTGATTGCTTTACTTCTTACAAAAGCATTTATTTAGTTTGCAAATTGTATAGTTTGCAAGAATTTTAATAATATTTTTTTAAAATTAAATTGAAGTGTAGTCATAAATCTGTATGGTCAAGTGGAAATATATTTTTCAATCAGCCAATTATTTTTTAGGAGGATATTATTGATAACTATATTAAATGATTTCACTTCATTGTTGAATATTTCTACACAGTTCAGTTAATAAATCAAAATATATGTTTGTATATTGTAAAACAGATGAATAAGAAATTGTTTTATTTTAACAAAAAAAAGTCGAAAACGCAAAAAAAAAAAACCAAAGAAAAAAAAGGTCACTTCGGTTAAACAGAAGCCATTATATTTTTCATACGTGCATAAGAGGGTACAAAAAGTTATTAATTTTGATTTTGAAAAGTCCGTATGTGTGGCAGCTATATGCTATAGTGGTTCGATCTGAACGATTTCATCGGCTTGTAGCGCGGCCTTGGATAACAATCGTGCCAAAATTCATGAAGATATCTCGTGAAATAAAAATGTTTTCCACTTAAGGGCTACATTTTGATCGTTCAGTTTGTATGACAGCTATATGCTATAGTAAACCAAAATCGGCGGTTTCAACAACGGGGAACTTCTTGGGGAGAAAGGCTAAAGGCTAAGGCGGACATAACTAAATCGACTCAGCTCGTCAAGGTGATCAGATAGGATAGCAAATGGAAAGAAAAGACAAAAAAATAGAGTCTACCTGTCACAAATTAATCCACATAAATATCTGTCACTACCATCCAAAAATTACGATGAAAAGCTTTAGATTTTTTTTTTCGCCTCTTAAACACAGGAAACTGTCGTTCTTGATGTTGTGTAGTCTCTTGTCACCAAACGCCCTTTAAGGTACTTATTTGAGGCAAAGACCACTGAGAAAAGCCCTACCGTATCTACCTTAATATGTAATGTCTATAAATCCGCCAGTCTCCACGACCTAGGTTAGATTAGATTTGGTTATGAGGTCGATCCTAAGAAGGATCACACTTGGACAGCTTAAGTGCCGGTCCGTTGTGGTACCTAAAAACTCCTATAAGCTGGATCAAAAGCCCCTTACATGTCGCCAAAGGGCTTTGTGCCTATAACAAACTAGTTGAGACGGCCAATATCCGTTTCGGCTAAATCTTCTGGTTTCCACGACCCAAAATGAATATTAAAATATTCTCCCTGAACTTTGCCTTAGCTTTTCTCGGACTCATTCATTAAATACATACAATTTCTTATAAGCGATGAGGGCCACTTTAATTTACTTACCAGAATAGCGTGATTTTAGGCGCACGCACATGTTGCGCTCGACTTTTCAATACTTTTCCTATTTAAGTAGCTGTTTAAGGCTGAAAGATTCGTTAGACATTAGTCAGTCTTAGCAGAACTCAAGTCGCTCATATACGCTGCTGCTTAAAGTAATAACAAATTCTGCATTCTTTTGAAATGTCTCAAGTATATTCTTATGTGAACGCCTCCTAAGTACAGAATACATGAAGCGAATAAAAGCTCACTAAATTCTATACTCAACTAGCGGCACAACAACAAGTGTGACGCACTTTTGGTCAATGTCTCATAAAAAAAAAACAAAAAAAAATTTTTTTTTAAATAATAAATAAATAAAACTAAAATGTTTCATAAAATTTGTTTAAAAATATTATTGCTTTGCCGTTTCGATCAGCTTTAGCTTAACAAATATGGTTAAATAAGAAAAACCGAAGCTTTCTGCTCAGTACCGAAACAGCTGCTGTTGGCTAAAGACGCGTACGCGCAACCCACAAACAGGTTTGTTCTGATCCGACACGATCGTGCGAAGCAGCCGCTACTCGTGCCAACCCAACCCAAAATACAGACAAACTCACACACACACTACGTCGGCTAATACTTGTTGGACGTGGTTTATTTATTTATTTATTTTTTGACATTTTACGTCATTTTCGCGAGAGCGTATTTATTTTGCTACTTTTTTTTGGTTCGTGCTTTTGTTTTTGTGTGTTTAACTATTAGTGTAAAAAAAAGTTTATATACATACATATGTATGTATGTATGTATGTATGTATGTTAGTAACTAGCTAAATACAGCCGAGTGATCTTTTGAATAGGTTCTCACCGCGATCAATTGGTCATAAGTGCTGTCTGCGATGTTAACGCTGATTTTTAACAGAAAAATATTGATATTTACAATATTTATAATATATACTTAAAATATATATGTACATACATATATAATTGTATAAAACATTTTAAAGTACATACGAGTATGTGGTTCAAAAATGACGTACTGAAGGTTGTGTTAAATTATAATTAAAAGTGTAAATTTATATAGAAATATAATATTATAATTTTTTTTTTTTTAAGTTTAAGCAATTGAGCTTATTTGCGATTTATTTATTTTTCGCTTTTGTGCTTTTTGTTTTTGTAAATAATCATCACAACAATCGCTTATGTGCTCTCAGCGCTCAAACTGAATCGCAACGATCTGCCATATGTGGTCAAAATTAGTCGCAAAAAATTTTGAAATGATTAAAACAAAAACAAAAAAAGGCAGCAGTAGTTATGAGAAAACGAATATGTTGGTGAAAAAGCCCACAGGCCGCCAAGAGGCGCGCACCGCACAATAGCTAAAAGCTGAAACGGCAAAATCAGCAAATCTCAAGCGAATTACGAATAGTATCTGATCTATCTTTGTATCTGTCGGTTGGTTGGTTGGCTGGCTAGCTAGCTACATACTTGTAGTTGTTCCGGTCAGATTTTCAGTTGTCCGTTGGAGCTATTGTATAAACCGCGAGTGAAGCGTACGCTAATCGAGCGAGTGAGTTAATTAGTGAGGATCGCGCAATGTGTGTGTGTGTGTGCGCGGTCCGAAGTAGACAATCAACAATATTCTTTAATTAGTAAAACAATAGTGAAATGGTGGCGAAGAAGTTAAATAAAATAAACGATAAATGAAACATATCATATTTTAAGCCGAAGAACGTGAAGTGTTGAAAAAATTATGCATTATGATGATAAAAAAATTAAATATTAAATATTAAATTTTAAATATTTATTTTTAATGAAATATTTTTTTTACGCAAACTCAATATAATAAAAACAATTTTTGTCAATTGGACTCTCTAAACCTGCGACATTTTAAGTTTCGAAATTGCCGTTATTTTCTGTACACACTCGTACATATGCTACAATAATTTTATTTCAGTGAATCTAGTGCTAACTGCAGTGCATACAAATTTTTTGTAAATTAAAATCATAAAAAAAATATTTAAATTAGCTAAAAATTTGTCTTATTATACATAACATTTTTTAAAATAGTTTTTTAAATTGAAAAAAAAATTTTTAAATAGTTTTTTAAATTAAAAATTTTTTTTTTTTAAATTCTATAGTATATACATATTTTTATAATTTTCCCTAAGCAGTGTGCAGCTATAACCTTAATAGTATATAATATTTCCAAAAAGTAATTATAAAAAATATTTATAATTAATATACAAAAAGTGTCATCGACGCAACCAACAATAATAGCAACTAAACACCAGTGAAGCTTGAAAATAAAACAACAAATTAACAATTAAGCTTCCAGCAACTGCAGTCTACAGCACAAACAGCAACAGTAAAATTTGCTTTTACAACAACAGTAACAAGCAAATCGAACGTCAGCAGCAGCGTAACCGTTTTTGCAGAAAATTATCTACCGGTGTTGAGCGTGCTACGGAAAAATATACAAATAAGGTATAAAGCAACGAGTCGAAATAGTTAAAAAACAAAAAAATAATAATAATAATCATAAGTAAAAACACAAACAATATTTATAAGGTTAGCGTTAAAGCAAATGCGCTGGCAAGCAGTAAAGCTTTAGAAAATCGCTATGCAATAAACGGCAACTGTTCATTTTAACTGCAAAAATTGTGAAACAAACCTCAGCTCAATTTTGTCTAGACGCCTTATCGCCGAATATTGGCTTTGAATATGGTCAAAGCATTTCAGCATTAATTTTTAAGTTTTTGTTACAAGTTTCCTACGAATTATGCTAGAACATCTTGTATGACTGCAATTGCCTAAAAGCTTTAAGGGGTTATTTTCGATTACTACGATTCCATTGAAGATCTTCAGAATGACCTCCGAAAAAGAGTGTCTGGCGGTGAGGAAGATTTTTCTGCATAAAATTAAAAATCCAAAAATCAAATGATAGTTTCTCATGACAATAGCTGAACACAGGCAACGATCGAGGGACTAGTCAAAATTTTGATTTTTGACAAAATGGCGGTTCTTCCGGAAATTGCGAAGTCAGTTTTTATGAAAAATTTACACTTTAAAGTAGCTTAAAAAATGGAAATTGTTATCAAAAATCTTTTTCTTGCGATAATTGCCTGACAAATACATAAAAAAAGGTCGTGTGAAAATTTTAAGTCGATCAGTTCAGCCGTTTCGGAGAAATTTTCTCGTCGTCTCTGAAAATAGCGTTTTGAAAAAAATGTGTTTTGGGAGCCGATTACATTTTTTAATTTTTTTTTTTAAACAAATTTTTTTTACAAATGCGCTTAAACAATCACTTAAAATATAACCTAATACCTATAAAGTCTTAAGTTTTTTTTTATATTTTTACATTTTTCTATTGAATTTAATTCAAACTTAGTTTCAAAAATATTTTCTAACCCTACTCCCTTAGCATTTTATTTTAATAGCTCTGATTATGACTGCCATATATTTCTTTCCAATATTAATTTCCTCTTCCACATATTTTCTTCGTAGCTTTTTGTTTGCTAGCAAAAGTTTTCCACTCATTTTTCGGTTTTTCGAAAATTTTCATGGTTTCATTTCTTTAAATAAATTTTATTTTTAGCACTTTTGCTTATTTTTGAGTTTTTCCTTTTTTTTTGGTACATTTTATTTATTTCGTTGGTTTGATTGTTGTTGCTGCTTTGCATGCGATTGCTCTCATTTTTGTTTTTGCTTTTCGAATTTGGAATATCTTTTATGTATGTATGTATGAGTGTATTCATGCATACATACATACGTGTGTAGGTAGATATGTTGTTGTTGTCTAGTTATAGATTTGCCTTAAGTTGTGTTGTTAGTTCTGTTATTTTTCAAATAAGCACGTTGATGTTGTAAACAGGGTGTGAGATTTTGAAAGATCCATAAAATATTAAAAAAAAAAAATAACTGAATACAAATAGTTCAAACTTATATTGCATTGGAAAGCTGAGAAAAATTCGTAAACAATAGGAAATACACAATGTTTAAAGGTACTTTGAAAATGCATAACTCCAAAATTTTTCATATTGAGTCAAAATAATAAAATACGTGTCAAATATTTTGTCTCAAAGAATACAAAAAAAAGTTTTGTATGAAAAAAAAATTTTGAACGTAAATTTTCGATAAAATGACCCATATATGGTATAGACATACATATATAAATGATCAGCTGTCTTTCTGCCTGCCTATGTGTAAGTATATAGCTGCTCATTTGTCGGAGCCGCCGAAGTCGGACCAGTATATAATATACGTAGTTGCGATACAAACTGACCGATCAAAACCAAAATCTTGTACGGAAATTTTTTTGATTGAAAATGCATAAATCACTCGAATAATGATTACTACACAATTGTTAAAAAAAAACAAAATAATGCTTCACTATCCTTGTTTAGGAATCACACCTTGTGTACTTTCTCATCTACGTTTATGAAGATCATACAGACCATTTAAGAGCAAATTTCGTGTGGCAATAAATATTAATTTTATGAATGTTTTTCTTTTTCGAGAAAATAGAATTCCAATTATAATTGCAAAATAATAAATACAATTTGTAAAGCAAAAATAGCAACAACACAAAATTGGATTTTTGAATAGATATATGCCTATTATATACAGGCTTACTTACATACATATACAGACACACACATATATATATATGTCAGCCCAATTGTTAAGCTCTACACCCGCATAAAGTTTTGTTTATTTTAAGTATGTTTGTATGCATGTGGGGGCCTTGACATCGACAAATCGAACTCATGCCAAAAAACTCATTGAATTTAAGTGACCGGCGAAGGTGTTGTACGAAATTGTGCAAACATTTATATTTCGCAGATGCAGCGACAACAATTAAAATATTCCATAAAAAATATATGGACAACAATAAATGTTAAAAATAACAGCAATGCTAGCCTATGGTACGAAAAAAAAACGGCAAACTCAGAATAATATATCAAGATTTACCCACATATAATAAGTATTTGTATATACACATTAGGGTGCAGCGAAAAAAAAAATTAAATTTTTTGCTTAGCCTGAGGGTAAAATTTGTAGATTATAAAAAAAGAAAATTTTTGAAAAAAAAAAAATTTTTAACATCTCGAGATGTAAACTTTTCACATTTATATACATATTATCGAATTTGACGGTTTTCGACTCAAAATTTATTTTAACGCTTCAGGAAAGCATGTTGTCGTTTAAGACTTTTTTTAAAACTCCAATAATGACCACAAAACATTTGTTTAAGCTGTTGACTTTTAATTGGTCAGAAAGAGGACTAGCCAAAGCTTCTAGAACACTTATCAACAAATTTTTAAGAAACAAAAATTTTAACTCGAAATTTACTTTCAAAGTGAGTAGGCCTCTAGATATTAAAAAAAATTTTTTTTACAAATATTTTCTATTTTATAATCTACAAACTATCCTCAGGCAAAGCAAAAAATAATACTTTTTTTCGCTCCACCCTAATACACATGTACCTACGCACATACATCGGTATGTTGGGCAAAAAGCGAGAGGAAAAATAAAATTTGCGAACGACAATAAAACATGCAGATTTTTGACAGTTTAAATACAAAAAAACTTGGTAAAGGTATCCATAACTAATGTCGGTAATTTGCTATGATATATTTGTCTTTAGTGAAGGAATTAATATATGTTATTCTAATTGGGATGAGACGATATAAAAGAGCAATAAATAGAGTAGAGCAAGTATAAATACATGCAGATTAATTGGGGTTTTTCTATTTGAGATCCGCTTTGTACTAAATGAAGTAAAAGAAAGGTCTAATGAGAGCTCGTTTGACTGGTGTCAATATTATTGAAAAACAAAAAACCAAAACAAAACAAAAATACTCATACATACATATGTTAAATTTATGTAGTAGGCCTAAAAGCGTAAAATATATATATCCTTATAGTATTGCTAATTGTTATTGTATTTTTGTAAAGTACTTCTTTATACAAGTATGATCGCCTAAGCAAATTTTGAGTGAGCTCAATAGAGAGCCACTTTAGGAACTCTCAGTCGCCGATCATCTCATATTATTCCATCGAATTTATTTAGAATTTAAATCAAGGTTACCTTGTTGGTGTGATTTGAGCGTTAGCAGCCACTTGGGATTTGGTATCGTTTATAGACGTAACATAGACAAACGGTTCAAGCGAATAAAAGAGATAAAAGTTGTTAAAGATGCTTTTTACTCAAAACGATGTTACACTTTATACTTTATGCAGTTAACCTCAAACTACTATGATCCAAACGACTCTTTTCACTTCAGTTAACTATTTAAAGGATTTTATCGAAAATCCAGAACTAGCCGGAAATTCTACTAAAATATGACAGTAATTGACTCTGACCTGGTAGGATGCAGAAAAATTATATTTTGAGCTAACTTAAAAGCAGTCAATTGTTATTCATAATAACTTGGAAGAGAGCTTTAATGTAGTTTTGACATAGTTTCAACTCTCTCTCTCTCTCTCTCTCTCTCAAAGCTGATAGCGTCAACAAAATGTTAGGTGGACTCTCAGCTATCATGAAGTTTTTTAACCGCAAGCAAAAGGAGCAAACGATTAAACTTTTTGGCATGCCATTTTTTCCTTTCGATTAGACAAAGTCAAAACATTAGAAAACGTTAAGCAAATGAGATATTTGTTGGAACATTTGTAAAAAATGTAGGGCGTGGCAAGGATGATATATTTCGTAACGCTTTATAAGTCGCTTAGTAAGTTGGGCGTGCAATTTTATGTTAAATTAAATGCGAAATTTTTCAGCGGGGAACGATCTTTGAAAAATACTTTTTTCGACACATTTAGGTTCTAGAACTCTAGGCGTTGTACCTATATCAGTGATCGTCCACCATTTTAATATTTTTTCAATAAAAATATTTATATACTCGCGTATTCGTATATGTATGTATGCATGTTGCCCTGAAAGCTTTATAAATAAATTAAAGCAAAACCGCTTGTCTTGTCCAAATAAATTTTAAAAAGACTGGGTAAAAAAATAAAATGCCATATTCAAAAGATAAAAAAAAAACAAAGAAACAGAAAGATTTTTGGCCTCCAATAATTTTTGAGGGTTTCTGCTTTTGTTTTTTTGCTTGGCACATTGTACTTCGACACGGAGAGGTAAAAAGCCAATGAGCACGATTTGCAAGATCAACAACAAAGTGTCGTTTCGCCGCCTTGACTATTTATCAACACGTACATAAACACGCACACATACACTGCCCGTTCACCTTAGTGAGAGAGTAGTGTTGTTTGTGGGTTTTGGGCTCTGGAGTATTAGAAATAATGTGTAGAGGAATTAGACAACACTTTACGTCAGTATTTTTCTAAATTTTTCAAATGTGTGTTTGTGTGCGTGCGCGGAAGTATTTGCCTACTGTTGTTTTAGTGAGTGCTAAGTGGTGAAGCAAAAAAGTGAGGCAATGTAAGAATTTGTGAGTTGTTGAATGAAGAAACGCCTACACAAA